TGGTTGGCTTTCCTTCCAGTAAATGTGAGAGAAGCAGGTCTTCTCTAGAGCCTCGTAAGCAATGTGATTTCTTCCTTCTCAGGAAGACTGGTTCCAAGTAGGATTCTTCTGAAAGCATTCAGTGATTCAACTGATGTAGCTTTATTGGAACACATACAACTTTTGACCTCCTTGCAGATAAAAGAGATAGCCAAAGAACCTTTTGTTCTTACCCCCAAGAAAAATGCCCAGCAGAAAATTGTCTAAAATGTGTGTCGATTTGCTTCATTTATTAAAAGGTATTTAGAAGCCAAAAGGGCTGTGAAATAGGACATAGTAGAATGATTGTGTAGCAAAATTACTTAATTTTCCTTGGGCGCATTTCATTAGTGGGTTTATTAGCAGCTATCTGTCCAACTCATGGTCTGCAAAACAAAAAAAAAAAAAGGTGGTACGTCATAGGGTAGTCAGAGAAGGCTTGGTGCCCCAGGAAGACAAAGCCTGGAAGAAGAGCCATGTCTGCCTCTGGAGTCTCAGACCTGTGCTGGGCCTCGCTGGGGGCCAGACAGGAAACTTGTTCTGCCCTTGTTGCTATTTTGCTTAGACTTCCAAGACAGGAAGGCAGCCAGGGACTCACTCTGTCAAAGACCCATCATCATGTCTGTCACAGCTTCTCTGAATGCCAAGTGGCTCTAGAGCTATAGCCAAAGTTTTGTTTTCTAAGTAGAAATTTAAACAGTTGACTTTCATCCTACTGTGGGAATAAGAGGGAATCCAGTCTAAGGTAAATATTTTCTCAACTATTTTGAAAATGTACGCTAATGGAAAGCCATGACATTTACAACTGGGTCCACCTTAGAAATTTTTACAATGATAATCTCCATAACAAAGAGACAAAGCCAAGTTATCAATCTAGAAAGTCCTTTTTTCCTGAGTTCCCCATTAGGTATATTACTGATGTTACAAGCCAAAGACAAGAACACATGGTTTTCATCATGAGTATATTCTGGGGGAGATCGGCTGTATAATTGGAAGCAAAACTGTGCCAGAATATGCTAGACCTGGTCAGCAAATCCACGAGTTAGGAGACCATGAGTGGCACCAGCCATCTGATCGTTTCCTTGAAGCAGCTTTTTGTTTTGCTTTGTTTTGTTTTTGTTTAAAGAAAATACATCTTGCCACTTAAACTTATTAATATTATTCCTGCATGGGAAGCTGGGAGGTTCATGGCAAGAACTCCCACTTCTGCTGTCTCACTCCTACTGTCCCTTCCCTGTGACAATCACATTATACCTGGAGTTAAGAAAATTTCCTGTTTGGGGGAAGCAATCCAACATCTCTTATATTCTCTTGCTGTAAACCTTCATTTAGAGACAAGAAGATAGGACCTAGATTGGGAAGCAGTCCTTGGCCATGTGTGGATTTAGCTGTTATCCCCTCCAAAGTCCTCATCGGGAGGGACGCCCAGGAAGAGCCATGGGTTTAGAGTCAGAAAGCACTGAGGTCTGACCCAGGCTGGTCCATGATGAGCTGATCTGTGATAAGGTCTCTCTGTTTCTCCTATCCTCAGCATAAAGCAGGCAGGCAGTCCTCTGTGTCTGCTGCTCTCATGAATATTAGTCAAGGCAATGGACTCTTCATCCTGCTCACTTATCAGTACCCCCACCCTTGTGGTCAGTGCTGGGAGATGGAGAGCGTGGGCCCCACCCACATAAAAACATGCAGAGCTCAAGTGCAGGAAGATTGGTTATCATCTCATTGCTTTTGTCTCTTTCCTGGTCACCAGGTACTTGAAAACAGCCAAATTAAGATAACTTTTTTAGACTCACAGACTTAGAGAATGAGAATTTATGGTTACCAGGGGTAAAGGGTGGGGGGGCAGGGTATAGATTGGGAGTTTGGGATTGACATATACACACTGCTGTATTTAAAATAGATAATCCACAAGGACCAACCATATAGCACAGGGAACTCTGCTCAATATTCTGATAAATGGGGAAATGAGGGAAAGAATTTAAAAAAGAATAAACATATGTATGTTAGGACTGAATCACTTTGCTGTACGCCTGAAACCAACACGATCTTGCTAAATCAGCAATGTTGTCCTTGTTATTCAGTTGCCCAGTCATGTCTGACTCTCGGGAACCCATGGACTACAGCACACCACTATACTCCAATATAAAATAAAAATTTTTAAATAACTTTTTTTAAAGCAAGGGCTATTGGAATTCCTGTGATCACCACAGATGCTAAAGAAACACAACTGTGATGTGAGCGCCATCTCCAGAGGAGAGCCTCTGTCTGTCAAGAGTGGGCAGGAGCTGGCATGAGTGACTCAGGGCGTCATTGCCTCCCATGGCCCAGGAGCATCTCCTTGTACCCCTGGAGCCAGCGCCTCTTCCCTGCGCCATAGTTGCCCGCCTGCTATCTGTCTATCTCTTATCCTGTGGTGAGTTAACTAGTAGCCAGGGATCTACTGGAAGACACCCAGGTCTTTCCCAGAATCAGGTCCCTTCTTCATCTTCCCATGAAAAAGACAAAGTCTGGAAACTTTCACATGTGTGGAGAAGGCAGAGGGGAATGAAATTGGTAATTACATCGCAACAGACTCAAAGTATTAATAGAATTAAAATGTCATAAGGGAAGTCAAATAATAGTCATTACTCAACGGTAAAATAACTGTCACTCATAGAATAACAATGACACGATTCAGAAAAAGAGGATGATTTTTAAATCCCTGAAGCTATTTTAAATGCATATTTTATGGAGGAATAGAAGTTACATGTCTGAATAAATCCTTTATCCTATAATGGTCTTGTTCTAGATGGAATTAACTAGTGATTTTACTGTATCATTATTGATTTAATTTATTAATAACCCTTAAAGTGTTTCTACTTCTTTTTGCCCTGCATTGCATGGCATCTCACCCTTCAGTAGCAGTATACATTGTGAATCTGTTGTTCAGTTGATAAGTCGAGTTCGCCTCTTTGCCACCCCTTGGACTGCAGCACTCCAGGCTTCCCTGTCCTTCACCATCTCCCAGAGTTTGCTCAAAGTTCTGTGCAGAGACAGTGATGCCATCCAGCCATCTCATCCTCTGCCTCCCCTTCTGTTCCTGAATCTCTGAATCTGTTAGTACAGCCCTTAGTGTGTAATTCATCTAATCCTGGTCTGCAGCCACGATTTTTTTCAAAATGATAAATGCAGTGTAAAAACTATTAAGATAACGAGGTGTCAACAATGACTATGACTAAGATACCTTTATTTTAGATTTGCAATTTAATATTGTTGATGTGAATGTAAGTTGGTGCAACTTCTGTGGAAAACAGTATGAAGGTTCCTCAGAAAACTAAAAATAGAACTACCATATTAACCAGCAGTCCCACTCCTGGGCATATACCTAGACAAAACTACTATAATTCAAAAAGATACATGCACCCCCTCTGTTCATAGCAGCACTATTTATAGTAGCCAAGACATTGAAATAGCTCACATGGCCATCAACAGATGAATGGATAAAGATGAAATACTACTCAGTCATTAAAAAAGAACAAAATAATGCCATCTGTAGCAAGGTAAATGCAACTAGGGATTATACTAAGTGGATTGGGAGTGGGGAGGGATGGACTGGGAGCTTGTAGTTAGCAGATGCAAACTGTTGTGTACAGAATGAATAAACAACAAGGTCATACCATATAACACAGGGAACTATTAATATATTCAATCTTCTGAGATAAACCATAATGGAAAAAACATAAAAAGAATGTATATAACTAGTCACCTTGCTGTACTGCAAAAATTAACCTCACATTGTAAGTCAGCCGTCACTAAAAACTATTTCCCATGGGGGTCTGCGAGCAGGTGTGTCCCCACCGCAATCGTACTAAGGAGCACTTCAACTGATCAGGCACAAGTGGACCCATGAAAAGGGATCATAAATTGTTTCCTTTGAACCCCAGACTGATCACTTAATAGTGGCTACTGGTGTAAATAGCCAAGATGGCCAAATGCTCTGGGGGGGGATGGAGATTAAGGGAGCAGAAAGGAGCTTTCTCTTCTAAAGAGGGAAGTTGAGAAGCCGCCCTGGGGCGTGTTTGAGGATGTGAGTTCCTGGCAGCACGTTCTCTGGCCCCAGAATGTTTCAGGATGATGCTTTCAGGCACCTGCTCTGCCTTCATGTCTTGTGCTCGTCTCTTCTTTCCCAGTTGGTGCCAGAAATGTAAGAGCAGGTACGGCAGAAACAACAGATCAGTGTCACCAAATGCTGCTTGCTACCATCCTTCCTCCCAACACCTCCTTGTAGCGTTGACTACATGAAGGTGAAACAGAATGTGGACTAAAGTGGAAACTAAAATCCCAGATTTTTTTTCACATGTCAGCTGATAGCAGAGGGCATTTTCATTATAACTTGAATGGAAAAATGTATATCTGACTGCTAACCCAAAGATTAAAGACCCTGGGCATAATAATGCCAAATCCTTAAATAAATGGACATCTAAGCTCCATTGAAAATGAAGGGAGAACTCTGGCAGAAGTTCTTAGAGGATTTTAAGCTTGAAGTTGTGAAGTCTTAGCTTACCCACTTTCAATTTTAACCAAAAATAAATCTTTCAGTTTGCCATTGGGAAGAAAAATGATATCTTTATATCTCATAGGAGAACATTGAAGGATGATGATATAATTAAGAAGTTGAAAGAAGTGTTAAGTTTTCTATATTAAAGATTCAAGTAGAATGGAGATAAACACCCAGCCATTTTTAATACATTGTACAGATGAATTGGGGGCTTATTCTTCAGTCCCCATCCATATTTGTAACATTTTGTCTAAAGGAAAACAAAAAAACTAAATTAAATATTTAATATATAAAGTAGTTTAATAATCCATTATCTCTTTCCTGTGAACATTCATTTCCTTCCTTGACCCTCGTACATTTTTTAAGAACACCCTCCTTCATTAAAATCCCTGTGTTTGTTTACTGCACCGAATTGTAATTCGTCATGTCACTTTTCTCTTTCTTCCAGAGCTTCTTTGAAGGGCAGTCTGCACCATGGGACTCTGCTAAGAAAGATGAAAACAGAATGAAGAACAGATATGGGAATATTATTGCCTGTAAGTGTTGACAGCATCATTGCGCTGTGATGTAACTTTCTTTTCACGTCTGCTAAGATTGACCACCGGCCTCATGTGGCGAGAATTTGCAGTGCAATTACTGCCTTCATCTCGCCGGAAAAGCTGGTGTGATGCTTTTCCTTAAGGAAAGGAAAAGCTACCTAAATACCCCCGCTACGCCCATGTGCCTTGCTGTGGGACTAGTTTTACTTTTAGATATAAGGTTTGGGTAACCTAGGTAATGTGCAAATGCTAAGAAAATGCATTCTGGAAGGAGTAAACATAACAGATCTGATGATTCCCAGCTGCTTCTTGAGAAGGAATAGAAATAACAACTCGAAGCACGCCTCGATGCCAGGAGCTCGGGACTCTCAGCAGACACAAGCTCATTAATCCTGGGACACTTGGGGTAAGGAGGTCAGTAACAGCCCCATTTTGAGGACAGGAAACTGAAATGCAGAAGTTAAATGATCGTCCCCGTATCACAACACTCATTAGCAACAGAGCTGAGATGATAACTCAGAAATTCCCAGTTCCCGTGAAGCGGAATGCCACCAATCCATAATGTCTCAGTCGGTTCTTAAATCGAGCCCAGCCTCATTAATGTTCCGTAACGATGTGGAGAGGCCCGGTAGATTGATGAGCTTCCCTCTTCCAGGGCTGAAGCCATCCATCCCTGCATTGTACTGCTCAAAGCCACACGAGTACCAACAGGGTACTCACGGAATTAATGCTGTTTCTGAAGATACATTAATTTAAAGAACAAACAGTAGCAGTGTGAAATACAGAGTACCTAGCCCATCCAGCCTTATAAGAGAACAAATTTGAAAGGTTCAGGTAATCCCAGGGAGCCATATATTAGCTTGCTTGATTGTGTAAGTGTGGTTAGATTTCACCTGCCTGAGTTAACCTTTCTTGGTGGGACGGTTGAGATCCTGTAGCAGCATCTGCCTCTGCTGTGAATGTGCTAAGTCGTGTCCAACTCTTCAGTCCCATGGATGGTAGCCCACCAGGTTCCTCTATCCATGGAATTCTCCAGGCAAGAATCCTGGAGTGGGTTGCCATTCCCTTCTCCAGGGGATCTTCCAGACCCGGGGTTCGAACTCGAGTCTCTTGTGGCTGCTATCTTGCAGGTGGATTCTTTACCACAGAGCCACCAGAGAAGGCCACCCTACGATGACTGACACATCTATGAATAGCAAAATGATGACTACAGTCAAGCTAGTGAAGTACAGTATCGTCTCCTTGCATAGTTGTCATGTTTCACGTGTGATGAAAGCACCTGAAATCTACTCTCTTGACAAATTTCTGGATTCAGTACAGTGTTAGTAACCCTCATCATCATGCTGTACATTTCCTCTCTAGATTTAGTCATCCTATGTGGCTGTCACTCTGTCCCCTTTGATCAGCAACCCCCATCAGAGCCATTACCCCCCTCCCAAGCTCCTGGTAATGACCCTTCTACTCTCTGTATAGATTCAACATTTTTTAGATTCCACATACAGATGAGATCATGCTGGGGTTTTCTTTCTGCATCTGGTTTATTTCACTCAGCATAATAATGTCCTACAAGTTCGTCCTTCTTCTTGTTCTTGTTCAGTCACTAAGTCATCTCCAACCCTTCTGTGACCCCTTGGACTATAGCGCACCAGGCTCCTCTGTCCATGGGGATTTCCTGGGCAAGAATACTGGAGTGGGTTGCCGTTTCCTTGTAGTGACAAATGGTTACCTTTTCCTATAGTGTTTTGTTGCTTTCTAAAAGAATCCCTCTAGAACTGTCTGGTTGTTTACGTAATTGTCTGTAAGCATCTACACTGGCCCATCCCGAGACATTAACCACTTAGACCACCTATAAATGATTATTAGGGCTCCCAGAATAGGGTTTGCTGATTTTTAGATGCTACTGTTCATCCACCCCAGCTACATAGCAGGAGTTGGATACCGTGTATGGGTTGCAGAAATACCACCACTCCTGGCTTAAATACCAGGACCGCCCTGGTGCCCCCCCACTTTGTCCAGTCTGGTGCTACAACTCGAGTCTGAGCGCCGTCTCACTGGGGGGCTTGCGCTCCTGCTCAGTTGATCCAGCTCTTGGCAACCCCATGGACTGTAGCCCGCCAGGCTCCTTGGTCCGTGGAATTCTCCAGGCAAGAATACTGCATTGGGTTACCATTTATCCCTCCAGGGATCTTCCCATCCCAAGGGTTGAACCTGTGTCTCCTGCATTGGCAGGCAGATTCTTTTTTTTTTTTTCCCATTTATTTTTATTAGTTGGAGGCTAATTACTTTACATCATTGCAGTGGTTTTTGTCATACATTGAAATGAATTAGCCATGGATTTACATGTGTTCCCCATCCCGGTCCCCCCTCCCACCTCCCTCTCCACCCGATCCCTTTGGGTCTTCCCAGTGCACCAGGCCCGAGCACTTGTCTCATGCACCCAACCTGGGCTGGTGATCTGTTTCACCCTAGATAATATACATGTTTCGATGCTGTTCTCTTGAAACATCCCACCCTCGCCTTCTCCCAGAGTCAACAAGTCTGTTCTATACATCTGAGTCTCTTTTTCTGTTTTGCATATAGGGTTATCGTTACCATCTTTCTAAATTCCATATATATGTGTTAGTATACTGTAATGGTCTTTATCTTTCTAGCTTACTTCGCTCTGTATAATGGGCTCCAGTTTCATCCATCTCATTAGAACTAATTCAAATGAATTCTTTTTAATGACTGAGTAATATTCCATGGTGTATATGTACCACAGCTTCCTCATCCATTCGTCTGCTGATGGGCATCTAGGTTGCTGCCATGTCCTGGCTATTATAAACAGTGCTGCGATGAACATTGGGGTGCACGTGTCTCTTTCAGATCTGGTTTCCTTGGTGTGTATGCCCAGAAGAGGGATTGCTGGGTCATATGGCAATTCTATTTCCAGCTTTTTAAGAAATCTCCACACTGTTTTCCATAGTGGCTGTACTAATTTGCATTCCCACCAACAGTGTAAGAGGCAGATTCTTTACCACTGAGCCACCTGGGAAGCCCCTCACTGGGGGTGTGGGCAATTCAGCATGAGCTCCCCGGTAGGTCCGATGAAGCCGCTGCCATGCTGTGCACCCTTCTGACAGTCGCCATTTGGAACTGCTTCATTTGAGACTCTGTATGTCTTTAATTAGTCTTTCCTGGTGGTTTAGACAGCAAAGAATCTGCCTGCAATGTGGGAGACCCAGGTTCGATCCCTGAGTTCAGAAGATCCCCTGGAGAAGGGAATGGCAACCCACTCCAGTATTCTTGCCTGGAGAATCCCATGGACAGAGGAGCCTGCTGGGCTATATAGTCCATGGGATCACAAAGAGTCGGACACGACTGAGCAACTAACACACATGTTTTTAATTACAGCAAAAATGAATCTTTGATATTGTTAGTGTTGTAGAAGGACTTGAAGAATAAAAATACTTCCCTAAATCACCCTAATGTATATACTCATACTGGTTATTTCTTTAAAGACATAGAGAAGAGTATTACATCTCCCTTTCACCCTAAGAAATCCTGTGATTATAGAAAACACAGTTTCCCTGGCTGGGAAGCTGCTCCAGGGAGCCCAGGCTTTGGGAATAGCACACTAACTAGGATGAGGAATTGGGGGATTCAGGGAACGGGTCCTGGAGATTCTTGTTATTGCTTTTCAGAGAACATAAAAGTGCTTTAATGATCACATTTATTGTTTTACAACAGTCTTTGCATATAAAATGGTTTTAATGGTGCTTAAAAACTGTTTATTGGCTGTTGTTCTTAAGTAAGTTGAACTTTTCCCTTATTTACACAACACATTTGCTGAGCTAGCCCTTCCAAGTATAAACGAATACTCCCTCCAGCATTGACACACACACAGACACACGCATACAGACACACAAGCAGAGCCCTCCTAATACTCTCAGCAGTTCTATTTTTCATGCCACTCTTTTTTTTATTTTTATTTAATTTTTTTTAATCTTTTTTACTTTTTAAATTGGGTTTCCCTGATAGCTCAGTTGGTAAAGAATATGCCTGCAGTGCAGGAGACCCTGGTTCAATTCCTGGATTGGGAAGATCTTCTAGAGAAAGGATAAGTTACCCACTCCAGTATTCTTGGGTTTCCCTTGTGGCTCAGCTGGTAAAGAATCCACCACCTGCAATGTGGGAGACCTGGGTTTGATCTCTAGGTTTGGAAGATCCCTTGGAGAAGGGAAAGGCTACCCACTCCAGTATTCTAGCCTGGAGAATTCACAAAGAGTCGAATTTAAAATTTTTTTTATTTTTATGATAACACATCTCAGCAGTTCTTAATTGTAACTAACAATTACAATTGAGAAAATAAGATGCTAGTCAGAAGGAAAAAATGAAACTCTGCCATTTGCAGCCACTTGAAGGGACCTAAAGGGTATTTGGCTAAGTGAAATAAGTCAGAAAGGAAAATGCAGTATATTTTCACTTATGTGTAGAATCTAAAAAATAAAACAAATGAATATAACAAAACAGCAGCAGACTCACAGATACACAGAACAACTAGTGGTTACCTGGGGTGGTGGGGGAAGAAGGAGGGAGGTGCAGGACATGGTAGAGAATTGGGAGGTATAAACTACTAAGTATAAAATAAACTACAAGGATGTCACATACAGCACAAGGAATATAGCCAATACTTGATAATAAGCTTAAATGGAGTATAAGCTATAAAAAATATTAATTCATTATCTCTATTTTATATACCTGAAAGTAATATAATATTGTAAATCTATTGTAAATCATCTACTGAATAGATGATAGGACAGTGGATGGATGTATAGATAAATGGAAGGATGAGGATATGATATGATATGACGTGATATGATGGAAGAAGTTGATGGCTTCAAGGAAGGCATGGAGTCAGAAGCAGCTCCTGTATTCCTGACTTGGGTGGATGGAGAATGGGTGAGCGAACAGATGGACAGGTGGGAGTATGGGATATTTACAAGATGTGTAACCCT